ATAATTTATTTTATTTTCAATATAATTATAAATATTTTCTTAATGTCAATCTTATTATCGAGGAGCCATAGATAACTTAAGATTTCGAATAAAAGATTCATATAGAATTAGTTAACCTATTTCGATATAAATAAAAAATATCTTAATTGAAATTTATAAATAGAAAAGATAATTACGAAATCTCTAGAAATTAGAAAATATGACAATATCCATATTTAATATATTTCAGAATAAATACATATTTCTATATCCAGAATCATGAATATATATATATATATTTATNNATTTATATTTATTTATTTATAAATTAAACTATCAAATCTCTGTATTCAATAATTAGATAACTTATTTATCTAATCGTTGAAAATCAGAATCATAAATATTTATTTTCTTTCCAAATAAGGAGTCCATCGAGATGAGTTATGAATAAAGAATCAAGACGCCAGACAAATCAAAATAAATTTCATCTCTGAACGCTAAGACTGATTTATATATATTCTTTTTCATATTTGAGCCAAAAAAATCTCATAACGCTTAATATTTTATTATCTATGAACAGATTGTCAATTTTTCAACATACAAGAGAATTTGTTTTTCGAATTCCCTCCTTCTATTCATGGAGAATACAGATAATTATTCAAAATCAAATGAATTGATCAGATCCATTAAATATAATAAGACGATTGAATTGAAAGAAACCAATGATTACTTATTATCATTGATTACCTTGGACATATCATCAAAAATAATCTGTATCATGAGCTCAACTCGAGGCATTATATACTACAACTCTGTGGCATATAAGCAACCTAGGAGAGAAAGAGATATTGATAATCGGGAATTTATCAATTATCGAATGAATTTTATTCAATAAATTGAGGTAAGCTCTCCATAGAAATATATAGCTTTAGTAATATATGAATCAATTTTCTAATAGCAAATCTTTCATAAAATGATCTTCGTTTTATTCATCTATTCTATAATATTATGAAATGATATTAATATGAATATTGACGAATTCTCTTATCGATATCTTACTTATACGATATATCTTAATCAAATATCTCAAAATTGAAATATACTCGTTTCTGATGACTTTATATAAATATACATATTTAAAATTCTGCATATATATCCGAAAATGAATATCAGATAGAAAATATTCCATATATCTCTCATAAGAACGATAGCGTTGAATATAATATCGCTCAATAATATAAATTCATTTTCTGGATTTCTATCGAGCTACGGGACAGAATTTTTTGGCATCTAGTATTCCACGAAATCAGGGCGAAATTTGATTTGAAAGACCCTTACAAATCAATAAAATTATTGCTAGAATATGAAATATCGATCCAGGCTGAAAAAATCAGAATCAGAAATATAATATAATATCATTCGTAAATTCCAAAAAGAACATTAATCGATAAGATCAACTCATGATTATCAGAATTGAAGATATAATCGATAAATTATTGAAAATATCTATCATTACTATTGCTCCAAGAGCGAATATTGGAAATCAACATAATATCAATGGAGAATAAATAAAGAAATTTCGAATAGATTCATTAAAAATCTTCTATCAAGATACGAATATCAGGTTCGATCAGCTATTTTCGATGATCAATATCAGAAATGAAAATGAGATTAAGATCAAGAGGAAGAATTGAATGAAATATAATTATCAAGATGGCAATCGATTTCTAGAATTACCTATATATTTTTATGAAATCTTCTGATTCTATTGTCATTTTTTCTTCTGCTGCCAAAAGATGAATCTATATAACGATCCAAAATCCTGAAAGACGACATAAATAAATATATATATATATTCATATATGTAGTATTTTTCAATTTCTGATGATTATGATATAGATCTCCAAAATTGAGAATTTATCAGATAATATTATATCATCTCCATATATAGAAAAAGATAAATCTAATGGTTTGAAATAATAAATCGAAAATAGATTATCGAATTCTGCTTCTGCCAAATTCAGAAGAATCGTGAGAAGATATTATTGTTGTCAATGGACAGAGCATTCTAAATTTCTATATATCATGAAAAGAGATTAAAAAGATATATCTCTTATCAAGAAGATTAGACTCTGGTGAGAATAGAATATGCATCCGATATTTCATCTTCAAATAGATTAAAGAGTAAGCTCGCATACGATCTTCTGCCGTTATGAGATTCAAGGAGATCCAATAAAAATATACTCAAACTTTCGAGGGATGAAGACGAAGAAAAAAATTCTTCTTCAATGATGACAGATATATCTGACTGATCGTGAATATCGTCGTCCTGAATATTATCCGAGCTTTTAGCCTCCAATGATACGGACTAAATTCAGATCCTTTCATAGAGAAGATAACTATCATTTTTTCATAATGGATCATATTCGAAATCTTACAAATTCATACAAGATCATCTTTCTTAGAAATAATCTCATCTTCAAATCAGATCTTTTCTTTCTCTTTCTTATTTGCCTTATGAATATCATATTATCTGATTCATTCCTTTCGATATATTAATATATAGACAAGGTCTAGAACTTCATTTTCTTTTATATCAGATTTATTTGACATCACGTCAAGCGGCACGGAAAGAGAAGAACATGAGAGAATAAGAATTGAAAAATTTCGTCAAATAAGAAAATATAGAGATGAAGAATATCTTAGAGCAAATTTCTGAGAATTATATGATCTTTGATCTTAATTAGAAAAATTTACCATATTTCATATCTTATATATCATTATATTTGGGCACGCTTCTTAGATGATATGATTGATCTGTTACAGAGCGTCTATCGGAATATATCTATTCTAAAAAAAATCTCTGAAGACAATTTCTTATAATTGATTTAATTTTTGAAAATTATATTTCAGAAAATAATCCATATAACGAATCCTGAGATCAATCTATAATAATTTCGTCTCCATTTATCAAAATCATTGATATATCTTGTCACAACCTGGGAAGCGAATATTAGATTCTCCAAAATTCGTAATCGTTGGTCTTACGATCCCATTTATCTTCTCAAAAAGCGAGCTAGAAAATTTAGAAATTGAAAGCGTCGATATTTCATATCTAAATCGATTATTTATCATCGATTCAGATAATTTTTTTTGATCTTATATCCCGAAGATGATTTTGATTCTTGAAGATAGACAGAATTCTACGGATTCCGAATATAAATAAGATATGATCTCGAAGAGAAGAAGATACATTTTTCGATATCTATAATTAATTTCAATAAGACTCCTCTATTTCGATTCCAGATAATTCGTAAGCTAAGAGATGTCCCATTTCAAGACGAAATCAGAAATTCTTTAATAGAGATCATTCGGGAGCCTTAGGTTCTCTTTTGAAGACTTTCTCAAATCTAATCATATATTCGATATTATATCAAATATCGAGCAATTCGAGATAATTTCTATTTGGCGGAATTTAATATATCTAATATAAAGATATTTAATCTTCTTATGACTTCGTTTCTCAATAAAATGATAAAGAATAAATGAAAAGAAAATAGAATAAGGATTACGATATCATCTTAATTAAAGAGAAATATCAATAAAGATTCAAGATTATCATATAATAGAAAGAGTAGATAATCAGAATAAATAATACGAGATCTTTCAACTAAATTCATATTTGAATAATAAACGTCTCATAATACTATCATAATCAATAAATAACAGAAAAATAGAAATAGTTAGAGAATACAAATTTGGAGCAACAGCTAAATTTTTATAATTAATTTTGCATCTTATTATCTTTTTTTTATATTATTCATTACTTTATAATATTATAAATCATCTATTATTCAAAAAATTATTTCATCGAAAAATCTCGTATTATCCATCCCGATTATCGAACCTATAAAATAGTCTTCAGCATATATTAATATCTATATTTTTAAAGAAGACGATATCAGAATCTTATAAGCTCGAGATATCTTTATAATAATTCTTCAATATATTCTAAAATAATAATAATAATTCATTAATATCTGCCGAACCTCAAATATTTAATTCCAATCAATCATATCCCTCCATATCGATATAATATCTTTTTCTTATCTAGTAGATTTTATCAAATTACAATCTAAAAATAAGACATATATAAGATTAAACACTAATTATATCTCTATCAAGAATAATCGTATTTTATTTTAAATGTTCAGAGAAGAAATTAAAGAATATTTAAATTCTTTTTGTAATTCAATCAAACATTACTTATTTTTCCAAGAGTATATAATCTATAAATAATCTATTTTACGAAATGTCACCAATTAATCCAAAAAATGTTTCAATATCTTTATTTTTCAGAAATATCTATATCCGAAACTATTATCAACAATATTTATTTATGTCAAGAATGTTGAATTTGAAAATATTATTCAAATTCTCGTAGATTTTCAAATCACTAACAAGATTTTTTAATATCGAATCCGATCTGCAATATTTATGTATATACATATAAACATCTTAGATGCTCTTGATGTCATACCCCTAACGAATTAAATTAAGCCCTCCATTCCACATTTCTTATTTTAAATTGGAAGTCGGATTGAAACATCTACTGCAATAGAACTCAATCTAATTTGAACATTTTTTGAAATAACGGATGTAGGTACTGACGCTATATTTGGATATATATAGATTCTATGTGCGAGAATATATCTACAACAGATTCCAATTGATGAATATCTAAAAGTTACAGCAAGTATATATAGAAATTCGAAATATATAGAAACATGTGCAGCGCAATACCATCATTTTGTGTATTGAGGGACATAGTTCTTGTTTTCGTCTCACTACACTAACTGGTTCAGTATAATTCATCATACTAGAGGATAATCAGCATGACATAACACAACGAATCCTAAGGGCAAACAAAACGAACCACAGGCACATCAACTTACAGCATTTTGGCATACGAGTTTTGAGGTCCGGACGATCACAACCCGTTCGGTGTCCATGCTTTTTGGTCAATCGGTAAACCTCTCTGCGAGGAATGCATGGTCCAAAGCCTGCAGCTCAAACTCGCATATCCAACACAGTCGAGCTTTCGCACCTCTGGCTATCTCAGGAACCGACATGCTTGGCTGAAGGGCGCTTCGATGGATCCAGGATCAGGAGTGACGCAGTGAAATCTGCCAGCGACCTGTGCTAAATGGAGTTTAGGACGAAACTGTTCCGGCCCACTGCGCATGACCATCTTCAGGCATGCCGCCTATGCTGCTTCTGCACCATCTGATGCAAAGGCCTTTGTTGCCGGACCTGTCCAGAAGCATTCGTTCCAGATTGCTCCCTCTGTCGGTGGAAGCTGGCTCATGCCTGCTCATCATGGGCTAGTTTGTCGACTTGCAAAAAAATCAGGGATATGTTTTCATTTCGGCCGAGCGGTGCTCTGATTTGGAAACCAACCCATCAACAAGCATGTCACGGCCACTTGCGTTCGTGCAAGTGGATGCACAGCATGGGTGTGGTTGGTGTTGACGGTTTCGACTCCCAGGACTCGGGCATACCAGGTGACTCCTTCCTCCACTCTTGTCACCTTCGCCTGGCCCTTCAATGGTACTTGCAGTGGAGTGAGGTTATGTGTTGGTCGCAGAAAGCTGTACAGGCCCGGGCACTGTGGAAAGCACAAGTCCGAAAAAGACTCCCTGCTTGGACCGCGCGAGTCAAATAGCATGGTCCGACCAGTCGCCGCAGCCTGCAATTAGTCCTGAACGCTTCCTCGTGCTCTCTCTCTTATTGTTGTCTCTGCCCCTTTCTTTTGCTTCGGGGCTCCATGGATTTGCCCGGTGCATAGCCGCTACACGGTACCCCTGTCGGACGGCATGAATCCTTGTAAGATGCACGCGCTCGCGCGCTGAATGATAACAGGCATGAACAAATTCACATCGGATGCCCAGTGTCAAGATGCTCGTCTGACGGGCTGCTGCAGCGTTTGAAGCTGCATTCTCCAGCGATAGATGCCCCACAGCCACGATCTTCTGTTAGCTCTTGAAAGGTGCAGCTGTGCCGACAAACCAATCCCCAGATCTCGATGCAACGGCTACCGGCACATTGAAATTTGGCCAACAAGCGCCTTGTTGCTCGATGCTTCTGAAGGTGCTCCCTCCGGCCAGCGAAGTCGCCAGGTCGAAGGAGGGTCCTCGGATTTACCCCGGGCGCGAGCTGTGACAATTTGGCGTGGGCCTCACAGCGCCTTGACAACGAACCGATCGTTGTGATTCCCCCCTGCTTTCGCAAGCAGGGTCTGGGGAAACCTCGAAGCGCTGAACCGGGCCGAAGCGACACACAGACGCACAAAGCTTCAAGCCCTGCCTCTCCAAAGCCCGCTGCATCAACGCCAGATGCTCCAAGCTCTCGTGCGTGCGAAACCTGGGAAGGTGACAACAAAAACACACTTCCCACCAGGATGCCCGATGTGCAGATAAGCAGCAAAAGCTCGCCAGTGTAGAGCTCTGAAACAATACATCCAATAGACCACAAATCAGACACCTCATTCCAACCTGGAACTGGCTGCAAGACTCTGTGAAACGTCGGCAGGTCACCAACGCTATAGGTTGCAATGCAGCCGATGCTCATAGGCTCTCGGCTGCTCTAGTTTCGCAGGTGGCCTAGAAACGGGACTCGCAAGCAATCCCTTCAGACCCACTTGGGCCACCACCCAGTGATAGGATTACCTCTGGTGCTCGATACTGCCTGTCAGTGCAGTCGGCTGGTTCGGCAAAGTCGCGTGTTGGTTGCGCAGACCTGCAACTACCCAGAGTGCAGACCCAGAGATCCGGATACTGGGAAGCAGAGCTTCCTGCGCGCCTGGTGTTAATGATGGAGGAATGGTGTTCGAGCTCGTAAGTCGCGTTTCCTATCAGCCAATTATACGTGAGGACCAGAGTGCGCACAACAAGCGCGAAAGCCAAGCGATTAGGGAGAACGGAGTCTCTGAGCAAATGGCCGAAATCAATAAGAGTGATCTCCGTGGACTGCGGACGGACCTAAGCAAACAAAGGGACATGCAGCCGCCTCGATTCTGCCCCAGGCGCAGCAGGCAATGCAGCAACACTGTTAAGCTGCCAAGTCGATTTGCAGTGCATGCCATGCACAGCTCAGCCGGCATGCAGATCGACTCAACATGCACCTCTTGGTGTACCACGTACCCACTTCCAGATCGCCGTGACGATGACGACGAGGACTGCGATTGCCAAAACTCCTCGGAAGTAGTAGGGCAAGGCTTAAACACAGCCGGGGGAGAATGCGTGGATGGCCTCGCGAGGAAACTTTGATGGCAACGGAGCTTCTGATGAGCGTAGAAGCACCTGTGCGTCGCACTGCAGACCACTGTCGGGCCGAATGTGCGTTTGATTTTCAAGCATTGCGGCCCAGAGTCGTTTTCGAGCTTCAAGTCGGTATGCGTGAGGTTGAGATCAGCATGCAGAAATCGCAGAGCTTCCAAGCACTGTCTGGAAATGCTTTGTATGTCCTGCGACCATATGAAAATTGAAGCGATCCTGGGAACGATGCTCACACCGTGTCCTGCACCCAAAGTCCACGGTACTGATTTTGCTTCAATAGATCATACAATGACATGCCCAAGGCCTGAGATGTCACAAACACATCGAGATGGGCATCAGGTCATCAGAACAGCAAAGACCTGATCCTGCTTTTGGCGAGGCCTCGCACACCAAACAGAACAATCTCTCTCCATCAGCTTCGTGGAAGAAAGTCTCATGCAGGCGGACCTCAGTCGCAAAGTTCAAACGCCCACGAAAACGATGAGCTTACTAGCAGTCTGACGGATCTTTCGGGACACAGTTGCGCCGGACACAGGTAGCTGAGGTTATAGCACAGCCGTGGGATTGCTTCGGGTCTGCTGCCCGTATGTCCTGCAATGGATCAACGAAAAAGAGGCACAGCCTTTGAGTGGGCAGTACCGTCACACAGTCGTAGTATCACACTCGTACTCATCCTGCAGGATCTCTGCTTCGCGCATCGCATTACGTGTGTATTTTGCCACCTCAGTCCGTGACCAGCGCACAGATCACACCACTATTCAGAAAGCAGTCCTGTGGAAGCTCGCGTGCATGGTAGCTGCTATTCCAGTTGACTTGCAAGCGCTTGTTGGACAGTGCTGAGTGCGGCTCGTTTCGGATGATCTTGATGGCTACTTGTCGATTTCGCTTGCAATCCTTTGCTTGCAGCACGCGGCCGAATGTACCATCACCGAGGAATTTGCTCACGACGTAGCGGGCGTTCATTTGCAAACCCACACGCCACCTCGGCTTCAATAAATTGGAAACAGGTTCACCAAATCTTTGGGTACTGCAGTGTCCACGCCAAGGCTTGAGAGTTTCCATGCTGAGTAGCTCGAAATGCTGCACCTCATCCTTTTCCAGACGAGGACCTGCCCCAGCCTTTTTGGGCTCTGAGACTTCGGAGTACGAGTAGTCCGAGTCATCCGAGTCCGAGGTGTATGTGTCCGTGCAGCTGCTGACAGACAGAGGCTGATTTAGATCTCCAGCTGTCTTTTGACGCTTGTTGCTCCGGCTGCGGCTTTGCCTGCTGCTTTTGCGGCTGCTGCCATATCCAAGACCTTGCATGTCTCAGTATCATCTCGCGATCGACGGCCAGCTCGGTCTGAGAGGCGGCCACATGGGTGGAGCCTCCTTCACGTATCTTCCTAATGGCAATTCCCTTCGATTTGCTTTGGCACTTGCTGTGCGACCCTTTTGTGCTCCATGATACCGACACTTCAGCTCGAAGGGCCTTCCAGATTTGTCGTACTAGACAAGCTGTTGATTATTTCCATGCTGCGTGCAAACACTTGGACCTTCCATGGCCAACATGTCTCTCCCGGAGGTTTGTGGCATATGGAAGTTCCCGTCTGGAGGCGAAAGTCAATTTACACAGGTTGGCTACAACCCCATTGTCATCTTTTCGAACGATGCCGGAGCAGGCGTTTCTGGTCTGCGGCTGCTAAACGCAGATTGTGGCACTAGATGCCTGGGTTGGTGATTTTTATGCTTCCTCGGAAACTTTTCCACAAGACTTCAAACCTTCATGATACATGCGCGAGCACTTCGAGGAAACACAAAAACTAGCATTCCGGATTAACAAAGGTGCACTTGCATATGCAAGCGCCTTGAAAGCAGATGCCCACTGGTCCAGTTTGCAACACACCCTCGCCAGTTCTTGATAATCCTGTGCCAAGTTCAGAGAAGGAGTGTGGCACAGTGGATGAAAAGGGTCAAATTATTCAGCTTCTGGCAGCATTGCGCCGCACTGCACCCACAGCATCATGCCAAGCATGCGCTGCTTGGCCAACTGGAGAATCTGCCGTGACCCGTCTTTATGCACTGCTTCATGAACTTCATGGAGCGCTTTGCGCTTCTTGGCTGCTCTTAGGGTCAATGCTGACCCTCATGCACTGGATTTGCACTCTATTCTCGAGCAAAATCCTGCACCCAACTTTACCAGAACAGGTAGGAACTAAGAGCTGTCATCCTGGGCTTCCTCTTTCGCAGCCTCTTCTTCGTGGACTTGCTCCTGTGGTGCTTCACTCCCCTGTGCCACATCGTCGTCCTTGTCATCATCTTCATCGGCAAGGTCAGCGGTCACATTCGTCTCATTTTCTTCCATGTCCTGCATCCGGCGGCTTGTCACTGCAGCTCTGCGCTAACCGCTGCTTTATGAGGAACTGCACGGCCGACAGGCTTCGGGGAGGCCACCTAAGTACCACCCGCGCCCGAGCATCCATCGAACTCTCGGATGCAAGGCTCTGCTTGGAACCATCCCTCCCTGAGCATTATCGTCGGACTAGGATCGTGTCGTCGACACCCGACATCCCAAGCAACCACTACAAGTGTCGCTTCCAAGCACGTAGTCCAAGCAGTCCTTTTCCTTCTGCAGCTCCTCCACGCTGGGCAATGCCTGTTTTTCCGATCCTGGCCTCGGCAAAGGAGTGTCAAACGACAGCGCCCTGCACCTCCCCTTAAGAAGAGATGGATAGCTAAGGCGGAGCTAAGAGCGTCACAGGGCGGTGAGCTTGTCTACACCCCATGCCAGAACATCGGCATAGGAGCTTGTGACCAGGTCCTGTTGGCACGGAAATCGTTGCGACGGCGTCGGCGCAACGTGCTTATGACTCATGACTTACGGCTCAGATGCCAGTCCTGCACATCCTCAAACGATGTTGTTTCCGCAATTTGCTGGATCGCCACCGCGGCTATGCCCAAGCTACCGAAGCGAACTAGAAGCATCAAGGCGTCATCCTTTCGCTTCTCCCACGAATACAGAGGCTGGAAAGAGTCCAGGAATCCACAATACCTCAGCAATGCCAACAGCTTAGAAGACCGTTCAGATCTCGAAAACTTGCAACGAGATCGCTGCCAAGAACTGAGGCAAGAGCTCGTCGTTCAGGTTTGGGAAGATCCAGAAGTCAAAGCCAACTATCCAGAACATGGTGAAGATCAGCATGCGCAGGATGAGGACGCCGAAGTACAACGTCAGAAATATCACGCTCAAGTACCACACACCCACCTGCGTGCAAGCGAAGCAGCGGCGAGAACGTGAACAAGGACTCTTGCAACTTCCAGGTTGGGGCGCAAGCGTCTGGATGCCTTGGCCCACATTGGCCAGACCGGAAACATGCACGCGAGGAGGACTCCAGCAATGATCAATCCCAGCAGAAAGTGCTGCAGACCGCTGCCGCCCTCGTATGTAATGACGTAAAACCTCACATGGCAAGCCAGACAAGATCCTGAGTCTAATGTTGTCTCAACGAGTCGGCTACAAGCAACTTCCAAGAAAGGCATTCCTGCCGATTCCTGCCATCATTGCACCCAGAATTTCACCGATGCTGCGACTTGACATGACTCCACAGGTTGCGCATGATAGCCAGAGTTTTATTGACAAGGTCAGGAACTGTCCCCCGACAGATGGCTTAGTCTTAGACCGAGGCCAGGACCCTTCAGAGTCGAAGGTCTGGTTGGGCGTTCGGCCCAATCTGTCAGGCCACTTCTTGGGCTTCTTCTCCGCACCATCATCAGACTTGGACGTCGGGTTCAGGGGCTTGTACATAGCCTCGCGAGATCACCGACCGCGATCAGGTGAAATCTGATTCCGAACGTCTGACGGAGTTCCAGCCTTGTAGCAGAATTTTCGGTCAATCAGCTCTTGGCCCAGCCGAACAACATCCTGATCAGTCTGCGGAACCTGGCCGTCCAAAGCTTCTTCCAGCGCTTTGGGGCACTTCTTTGTCAAGATCCCTTCACTTTCCAGCAGGAACTTCTTGAAGTCTTTTCCACGGAAATAGTCAACTTTCTTGCGACCGACCTATGTGCAGCATGGTTTGACTACGCACACAGACACATTCTCGCACACTAACTCACAGACAGCACCACCCGCAGCTAAGCCCTGTGCTTCGCTTGCTGTCTTTGTCTTTATGCCTTTCTTGCCTAGAAGCACCTTCATGAGGGGCTCAAAGGTTGGGTCCCATTCGGGCTCCTTCTCATTTTTGCTTCGCCCTTAGCTCCAAACTGACTGAACTTTGACTGACGCTAGCAGGTCTATCCATGTGCATGAAAGCCTGACAGCTTTGCGGAGGAAGGTGCTGAACATCGCTCTCGGCAACGAGTTCCAGAATCTGTCAAAACCTGGAGCCCTGCTAAACTCCGCCGAGCTTTGGGCCAAATCGCCATAACAAGGGCCAATCACTCTTACCTTCTGCCGGTATCCAATGAATGAGCTGAGTGGGTTGCGTGCATCAGGGCGTGGTTTTCCTGATAGGAATGCAGAAGAACAATTAGCCTGTACACACGCAAACTAATTGGCTGCATCGCCCCGTTCTGACATTCTCTTAAGTCAATTCTAGCACAAACCCAAAGAGGGAGGAAACAGCAGTGCAAGATAATTCCGTGCACGAGGACCCCCATCTGTACAGCAACCAGCGAGAAGTGGACGAAGCGGAAAGCCAAGCTCACCACCGCTCATTTTCCGTGCCTCAACGAGGTCACCGACCTGCGCTGCAAACATGTCACAATCGCACGCCCAGCCCAGGAAGTGCAGGCTTCCGCCACCCACCTTGAAGATGCAGGTTTCGCGACGCTCGCACTTCCGCTTGTCAGCGATCGCAAGTGGCGCTTCGGCTTGCCACCTGTTGTACACTGGCTGACCTGAGAGAGCATGTAGAGCCTAGAGCAAAGGGGGAACTGCATAAGAAGTATGAATTAGGCCGCGAACCTGCGAGGCGAAGCGCAAGGAGCACAGCGTCTCATGCGAATGGTCCGCTTCGGGGCTTACCGTAACCAGCATCAGAGTCTTGCCCTGACCGTTCAAGCAGGGCCTCAGTGTGAAGCGTCTGTGCAATCACTTCAGAGTCGTCGTACAAGTGCCAGGCTCCATCAAATGTGTCCTGAGATGGGCTGAAGCTTGCCAAAACATCATCATAGCTAAGTCTTGGAAGCAACTCATTCGCAACCTTTTCAATTAAGAGGGCTACGCTCGCATTGCTGTCGTGGATCAGCTTCGAGTTGCGGAAAGGAATGTGGGATCGCCCTTCGGCTTTGGCAAGAAACACATCTGCAAGGCTTGACCTGCAGCTTTGCATCCTCTGCCCTTTCACATTTCAGGTCTGCAAGGCAATGACAAGGAAATCATGATGCAGCATCGGGTGCACCGAGGCGTTTGCAAGCTCCTGTTGATGTTCTGTGTCTCTTTGAGCCTGTCGCCAGTCGAGCCTGACCTTACATCAGAACTAAGCAGCTCAGGTTCCTTAGCTTTATGGATCTTTGCAGCATTTTCTGAACTATGACTGTGAACTGCAGGGAATCTGCATCCTGCACTATGGCATGCAAGCAGGCGTGGAGCTTCGCGTTCGTCGACCTGGGCCTGTGGCTTGTCGAGCCGCTCAGATCCCGCGAGATCCACCAGGTGCAGTGCGCCGTGCAATTCCTGAAGGTGGGCCCGACGACAGCTCAACCCGGTGAGAGGCTTAGGTCCCCGGCAGAATGCTGCTCCCGGTTGATGCCATGGAGGTACAAAGCGAATATCGAATGCGAGCGGGACGATGATGCGTTCATTTCAGTTGCCCCAACCTCCACCAAAGCGGAATGTCGCGCAATGCACGGGCACGTGTGCAGGATCAGGCAAGGCACGGATCGAGCCCTGGCTGCCGTCTCCATTAGTTTGCTGATCTGCTCCATGTGAGAGACCTCTGGGGAGCTTTTGCCGCTCTTCTTATTCTAAAGTTTAGATTCTACAGCCCAGCAAAGCACCAAGAGCCTCCATCAGTGTGAGGTTGGTCACGCACGTGCCCCAGGCATCGTCGTGTTTGATGACATGAACCAGTTGGCTTCCATCGCTGCCCAACAAGTCGCGGAGCACCTGGAAGATTTCCAGACTTGTTCAACACTTTGCCGGCGTACCGGCGGTTCCAATCCGTGCCTCATTGTAGACTTCCAGGAAAGAAACTTTAAGAGTCCATACCCAGCCTACGGGTGATACTGGCAGCGATCAACATCCGCACGCTCTCGACGGCTGTGGTTTGAAGCTCGGGCCTGAGGCCCTCATGGCTTCAGATGCCTTCAGAATCTGCTGCACTGATCTCGGAATAAGACCTTAATCGTTCAAGGCTCGCCAGTGCACATGGTCACATGGCTTGTAAAGGTAGCGTCTTCAGATCCTGGCCAAGTGCGCCAGGCTCGGAGGAACCCTGCATTGTGTAGGTCTTTCCAGAACCTGTTTGGCCGTACCTGAACAGGTCGATCATTGCAAAGCAGCTCTTTTTCCCAGTCTGGGAAGGCTGAGACCACAGCGCGAAAATTGAAACCTTGAACCCATCCTGACACTGACACCGATGTGACCGTGCTGCACACTCTACTGGCATCATTTCTGGGACAGCTCAGGCTACTGCCAGTGCAGACTGAACAAGGCCGCCAACTTCCTCGAAGATAGCCTTTTGCAGTCTCACTTCCGGTGTGTATCTGGTAGGTCGCGGGTCTACAAGAACTCTTGAGAATGTATTCGCGGCGCCCGCACTTTAGTTGCGAAGTTGCATGATTGCAAAGGCTACCTGACAAATGGATAAACAGATATCACAAGTACTTTCATTACTGGCGGCGGGGGGACAGTCCTCAGCACAGGCCTGGCAATGCAGGTTTGCGCAACATTCAAGGAGCAGAGGGCACCCGCTACACCTCGCTTGTCACAAGAACAGAACCGGCCTCCTGGGAAGAGCTCTCGGAGAAGACGCGGTCGAAGCTGAAACCGTGCAGCTCGTTCATATAGTCCAAGTTGAGCTTGTTCTGTGGCATTGCGGGTGGGCACACGTGGACATTGGGATCCTAGAGGGCCTCTGCAATCTGCAAGTGTTGCGCCGCAGCTTGCTGATTTCCGATTTGTGGCCGCACACGGCAAAAGACTCGGATGTTACCCTTCAGCTCCTGATCCACGGCAGGCTGCTACACATGATGATGGGCCGCCGGGCCACTATCCGCGCAGCGGTACAGCCTTATAACGGAGGCAAAGACGCAACCATGCATTGCAGAACAACTTCGACTGTTTCAGGCGACCCTCGACGTCGCATGGTGACTTCTTGGCCGGGCCAAACGGTAGTCCCACTGGAGAACCAAGACATGCCCTGAATTCAACCCTGTTGTGCAAGCGAAGCTGAACAACACCACTGTGACACAGCAAGTTGCCTCCCACCTAGCTTGCATCGTTCTACGGCTACTGCTGCCCATGTCTGTCCGGAGTTGGGCCATTCGCTCCTGAATGACGTTGTGCAGCTCTCGCCGCGTGCACTCGGCACAAGCCAGTTGACTCTCCAAAGATTGGATGTAACCTTGCAGAAATCTGTCTAAGTACTCTCGCGAAGGGCACTTGCTGGAAGCTGGCCTTGGTGACGAGATAGGTTGCCTTGTTGGTTGTGGAGCTCCGCTTTTGTGCATTCCACTTGTCTGCTCAATTTGTCCACCTTGGCCATGGAACTACAAGTGTTGAGCGCTCGTTGTGGACTTGCGCTTCTGAACTCAGCTCAGGACTGTGAGCCTCAATTCTGTAATTGCCTCCATCTGCTGCTGGTTGCTGGTTCCATGATGCTCCTTGTAGCTTCGGAACTCCACCTTTGATTCCGACTAGGGACAAGCCAACTTCTCGAAAACTTGATATCTTGGGGGCCGCGAACCCAGACTGCAACACCCTTCTAGCCTGCAGTGCATCACGTTCTTGACGAAACTTCTCGCACTCCACTTCTTTGGCCTGAGCAGGCAGTATGTGGAAAATTCACAGTTAGTCCAAGCCCTGCGCATCATTCCAAGATCCCTAGGAGACTGACGCTGGCCACAGCTCTTAGACTCGCCAATTCCTGCATGGGATTCTGACAGGGCTGGAGGCAGGGGCAGGGGGCAGGCAGGGCAGGGCACAGGACGAGCCCGGGGCAGTGCAGCAAGGCAGGGGGTAGGGCAGCAGAACAAGCAGGGGGGCAGGGCTTGCTGCAAGGAGATCCTCTTGGAGCGCGCCGACTTTGATCTTCGATTGTGCAATTTCTTCCTGCATGGAGCAATTACTGTCTCTACCCGCCGACGGGTTCCGACTCATGAAACAAAGGCCAGCCTGAAGTGCAGCTTTGTGCTCAGAAGCGCGCTCGGTCCTGCTCAAAGCACAGCGCTTCGGCGACAAGATAGCACAACATGCCCGGGAAGATGCGGCAGCGGATTTGCAACCGAAGTGCTGGAGATCTCTTTCTGTCTCAGCGTGCTGCAGCATCTTACGTAGCTCTTGCAGCTGGTCCCTGCGCACGGCTGGACTCAGTTTGCTTCTGCGCAAAAACGTGAAAGCTGCAGCCTCATCAGGGCCAACTCTGACTCCGTGCGTTGTCGCCTTGAGAGCAAAGTCAGCAGCAAATTGTCACAGCTGCAATTGAAGAGACTTCCAAGAACCGAACTCCCATTGAAGTTGTTCGCTCGTGCTGTTACGAAGAAACTGAAGTGATTGCAAGGTCTCGTGCAGTGTCATCTCCTGCAGCTCTTCAGATGCAGTGCACAGTCCATCTCTTCTCGGAACGGTGTCCTTGGCTCCTAGCTGCTGTTGCAGCACGTCCGTGGCTTGTCTGAAAGAAGTCTCCTTCCGTCGGACACAAGGTTTTTCAAAGATGCAGCGCTTGGGGATCGCCTTCTCTTCCATCAAGGCTTCGTGCTTTGTGTTGGCTTCGCGTAAGGCCTCCTTCATCTGCTTTTCCTGAAACAACGAGGACGAACTGACGGTCTTCCCGTTGGGATGCTTTGAAAAGCCTTGAACGTTGGAACCCTCAACCACACCTGGCCGGTGGGACCCGGGTGCCCCTCCAAAAAAGAAACATTTCATGTCAAGGAGGTGAGCGTGAAGCACGAATTCTCTACCCTCCGGCAGCTATCTTGGCGCAGCTCCGTGTGCCCCTGGCAAGCTACAGGTGCCCTGCTGCCTGCTTGCGAAAAGACCTCTCGCTGTCTTCGTGGCTCGCTTTTAATGCCTCAATGCTTTGTCTTGTGTGATGCTCCTCGTCAACAGGTACATCCAAACGGTCAGACAAGCAGTCGACGAGAAGTGGAGGCCAGCCTTGTCAGCCAGCTCTTGCTTCAATGCACACAGCGTTGCCTCTGCTGCATCTTCCTGCTACTGTAAGCATGCACATTAAGGCCACAGGCTCCATCTGCTCGATCTCATCAAATACTACAGTTACTACAGATACTCGTGTGCCGACACTCCTTGAGCTTGTGATCCTGCTCCTTTTCGGACATCTGCAGTTGGTGTGTCGCAGTCAGGTGTTCAATGAGCTCGTTGAGTTTGGCCTCCTGCGGCAGTACAGCCACTCGCCCAAAACTTGTGCTGGCTATCAAAAAAATCGTCCTTGCTCTTGAAGGTTGCTTCTCGTCGGTCGAGCGCCGACCGGTGTGCTTCCTTCAGACTTTCAATAACGTTGTGCAACTCATCCTCCTGACAAACGAAGTGACAGTTCCGGGTTGGCAAACATGTTGTCCAGCATTTCTTGAACAAGTTGAAAGCTCTATGAAGCTCTAGGTTGAAGTCCTTCTCCTTCTGGAGTTTCTGCATTTCCGCAATTTCTGCGACGTGGCCATCTTTGGCATTTGCTAAGCAGTCCTTCGCCTGTTGCTCCTTCAGACAGAACGTCCACACGCTTTCCACTGCTCGACGCAAGCAGTGCAACGGGGCACGCACGAGCAGCCTGCTCTTGCAGTTGGACATCTTTTGCTTGGATGACTTCTTCCAGCTGCTGTAGTGCCTTTGCTGCGTCGGAGTCCTCATTGGCACAAGGAAGGAGGGAGCCCGGGCTAAAGTCTGGGGGTTCTGCAGCGCTTCCCTTCCGAAGGCATGTCCTTTGATTGCAGCGCCTCTTCCAAGTCGTTCAGGCGGTGCTGGTGCTCGTGTTGCAAAGCATCTTTGGCTTTGTTGTAATCTGCCTTGGCAAACACACAGCCACGGTGCCCGAGCCCTTTTGCGATTCGGTGTGACTGTAGCATCAACACCAAGGCATCAGCCAAGAGAGCAGCTTCCTTTTTCCTGTGAGCTTCGACGAGCTGTTCCTTGGCCTGGCAAGTCGAAGTGCCGGGGCAAATCCGCCCTTCAGGGCTAACTAATATACACTTCTATCTGTTCAGTTTGTTCTTGTGTGCTTGCACGGCTCGTATGCCAGATGAGCCTACAGGGCAGACTGCCGGTGCGATGGCATGGGCCGAATTTCTGCAAATGGAGTCTCCATGACAGACAGGGTGCGGAATCACAAACGGTGCTCCCGCATCACTTCCGGGCTTTCCCCCAACAGTGCCATGCTCAAAGCATCCACGATGCGAGGCCACTCCTCTACTTCGCATGCACTGCAGTACGTTAACTACTGCAGCAGGCAGCAATTGCACGCGCTTTTTGGCATTCTGCCAGATAGCATCCGCATCAGCAACATCACGTTCGTTAGAGGGAAGGGGCAATGGCAAAGCGTGTGCTATGATTGCGCTATGCTCGACTCCTCCTCTACTCCAGACTCCAGAGAAATCGGAGGTTAGCTGCCTGCATCGTCTCGTCGACCTGACGACGCAGAGTGGTTGCTACCTGTCACAGCATAGACAGGCAGACAGGCGGGCTCAACCCCAGGCAATGGAGATTCTCGGCTCCCACACTGCGCTGAAAATGGCAGCGTGGCGAGTTCGAAGGTACGTGGCTTGACATCGACATGCGAGGCCTCTTCCATCTGTCGGCGATGCCTGTCCGACATGTCCTCGCATCTGCGGCGTGCAGCAGCAGCCTGCCCGTTGGATTTTGCTGAGCTCAATTCCATTGTGGCTTCACCCAACAATCTCTTAATCTGCAGGGGAGCTGCATCTTCTGCTTGAGCAGATGCGCTTGCCCTGCGGCATATTGCAGCACCAAAAGAGAGTTTACATCCTCCGGCGCTTCTCCCTTAGGCCTTGCTTTTTCTACGTCTTGCTCAAGACGACGCACTCGGTTGGACTCTTCGCACAACTGCTTTGCGAGGAGTGCTTCTCGGCCTCCGGGCATGGCTGACCAGCACCATGTGCAGTTCGCAGCGCATGCTTCGATATCTCGCCTGCGGCCTCTTTCTGCACTGAGGCCAGCTGTGCTGCTGCCTCCAGTGTACCATGTCGTCTGCACTTCTGAGAAGACGTTTCCTACATGAAGCTTCCTTGCATGGATCCTGAATTCGTGCACGAAGTAGGCTGCACTGAGCGAGAGAGAGCGAGAGAGCGAGAGCGAGCGAGAGAGAGAGCGAGGCAAACAGACAAGATGAAAATGCAACCAGAGGGCAGCAATAAGAAGGCACGGGCAGCCGTTCAGCAAGGTTTCGACCCATCCACGTTTGTTTATGTTGGGGTTTATGACGGAAACTTAGAAAGCAACCTCGAGCCACACTTGCTCTAGCCGTAGCTACACTCCGCAGGAACCTGGTCAAGATCGCAGTGGGCAAGCTGAAATTTTGTGCTTTCTCTCATGGCCTCCTTGAGCTCGTTTTTCGAGGAACACAACCTTGGTTTTCGACTCGATGCATCACGCAGCAGCAAGAAAACTGCGGCTAGGCCCAGGCTGCAACTACACTAATCTTATTCGCCTCTGATGGCCTCTCATGCAACTGTCAGAGACCGTGGCCAATTTTTTTCGCTTCCTAGTTGCGGCGGCCTCCTCAAATGCGACTGCTCCCTGATCTGGTCTTCCCCTCGTCTGTGAATAACTGAACTTCCCTCTAGTTTATGACTTCATTCAATCTGCGACGCTGCGATGTCTCGCAGCCACCCTCCCCTCAAGGCTCAAGAATCCTAGCTTCGTCAGACAGCAAAACCTTGTAAACGCAAGATCCAAACTATCCTAGCTCGAGACGCCAAATAAAATGCGTCCTCTGTAGTCTTACAAGTAGAAGGCGCTGCGGCGCGGGTTCATACACGAGTCGGCACTGCAGCACGCTTCTGTGAACATCGAGCGGGAGTGGTGCAGCGCTGGTCGCGGTTGTTACACATGGGTGGAGCTCTTGGTCCCAAGAGGGCCATACAACCCCCGGTGAGGTGAGGAGCCGAGGTGAGGGATTGACCAGGACGCGAGCCCGGCCTGACAACAGACGCCACCTCTGGTCCGAAGGCTCAAGTACATGACAACGCTACAGAACACAAACAAACAGCAGCAGCTGAATGCGAGCTACGACACAACTACGACACGAAAGCTACCACCGCGATTTCCGAGTGGGTGAGCAAGCGCTGCCACGAACAAGTTTACCACGAACCGTGGGATGCCACTTCTTCGAGCAAGCACTGAAACGAGCAAACCATGGGGACACCACCGCGTTCAGGAACCGCCGCCACGAACAAGGCCTACCACTGTAGTGAGTGCCATGACGAACAGGTTGACCGTGAACCGTGGGGGATCCCGCCGGAATGAACAAGAAGGCCACGCAACGCTGGATCATCTCGTCGCGACGTACTCATCTGGGTTAGAAGGGAGACGCGCAATCAAGAGGACCCACAGCATGCAAAGGAACACAACATATTTTTTCGCGAGAGATTATATGGATGCAGGGATGAAGCTGAAATATAATCTAATAGAATGTGTGTAGGAGGGCCTGTCACAGGGCTGTGCTCGAAGGGGAGCTGCCGAACGCATGCGCTCGTGCAAAGTTGTCTGCGGAGGTGGGGTTTCATGTATGCTTACGTACACTTTGAATCTTGCGGCAAAGGGTCTCACACACGAGGACGCTGCATTTTCCGACTGTTCCAAGTTGCAGCCCATGACTTGCATGCCAAGCGTTTTGCTGGCTGTCAGAGCTGTGATCACTGAGGTGGCCACCTTGCGTTCACGTCTTGCTCAGCAGCTGCCAGCGCCTCAATTGCAACGACTCGCTTAAGGGCTTGTTTTCTGGTGCTGTTGGCAGCCAGGCTGCATGCGTGTGTCTCCACTACATGGGACACATGGTGAGTCTGGGAGGATATGTTTACCTCCGACCGAGTATTGAAGGAAGCAGGAGGCAGTTGAAATGCTGCGAATGATGTCGCTTGCCAGTCTGAGTCAGGAAGCGCTTAGAATAGAAAGGAAGACATTGCCACAGAATCGGTCGAGACATGTCGAGACGGATCCAGCTCGCTCAAACTAGTCAGGACCTTGGACATGTCGTCACTGTCGTCTCTGACTACCTAAACTCCTACACCTCACATGACGGGCGGTAGCAAACGGTGCGAAGTCGAGCGGTAAATAGCAAACTCAAGCCCTACTGAAAAAGGCAGTAAACCCGAGCGAGGTGTGGATTGGCAAACCACACCCGTTCCACAGAGCCGCTCGACATCCCTGACGAAGTGTGCTTCTGGGCTTCTTCACGCTCGGTGTTGCGCACATTTGCGTGTGCCAGTACATTGGGGCCACTTCTGCCTGCTGCTGCGGTTTCTGGGCTCCAGCTAGTCTCACCTTCTGCTTTGCGATGCACGGCGCGGCAGGTTCTCTCGCGATCTTCTCATTTGCGGTCTCCATGAGTCCGAGCATAGATCACTGCGGGGAATTAAGATTTCGCCGGATCCTAACGTCCTGAACATGACAGACCGACCCAAACAAGACTGCACAGTAAGATCTGGAAGACGGGCAAGGGCCGGCGGGAGAATCGAACACTTTGGATGGCTCCCGCAACTTGCGCCATCCGACTACCACCATACTTGTTGAACACCGTGCAGGGCCACACAGCTGCAAATCCAACCTCAATACAAGCCCGCCAAACTGTTGCGCACAAACATTTTTTTTAAGCACTCGCGCTCGACGAATCAGGCGAGGAGTAGGGGGAACCAAATTTACAGCAGGGGCAGCTGAAGACCAGAGAGATCCCAGCCACCAGGATCCTTTCGATCACACAAGTGACTTGCAGCCAGCAGCTGTCGCCAGCAGCCTGTACAGCTTCGAGCAACGAAACAAACTTCCTAAACATCCTCAAGACATTCAGTCAGTCTCAGATGCCCTGTGCCCAAATGTATACCGGTGGAAGATTTTAGAGAGACAATGTCTTGAGACAGGCCTGCTTGAAAGACTTGATCTCCAGATCTGGACACGCCGTGCCACAGTCTTAAACCCTAAACCCCTAGACCCCTAAAAGCGCTCAACCTGAAACCCTACCCTCACAACAGAACAATCAGCGTCCGCTGGGATTTGCAAAGAAGTCAAACTACCAGTGGCCACACTTACCAGTTGCCACAAAGGCGTTTGCATCTCCACCAAAACCAGGGCGGTCGATGATAGTGTCGACGACAGCGAGGAGGGCAGCGTCTACCATAGTACGGCCGATAGTACGGCAAAGGCATGGTCGTTGTCGAAGTCGAGGAAGTCCCATTGCATCCAAAGATCCTTCCGACGCTCTCACGGGGCCCTCCGGCGGGTATAACCCACTCGGCCACGGCAAGTGAGATCGCTGATATGGCACCGCTCGGAAGGCGCGGTGAAGCCGACTGAACGAAGTCGATGGTCTGAGTCACGCCCCATGTGCCGTTGGAACTCAACTCGAGGATGGTGACACCGATACCAGAGCAGCCCGCAGCAAAAGCACAGTCCACGATGGCCTTGCCAGAGGAGGAGATCCCCAGTACCCGCGTGACTTGACCACTCACGTCGTTGTCGATCCGGAAGACTTCTGACCACAGCCCGCCCTGGTCTTCGTAGATCGCCGTCTCCAACCGCCGGGTGTCTGCAATGATGAACCAGCTGGCGATGATGTAGTCTCCGTCCACGTCCACACCGACACCAACTTCAGTTGGTGCTGAGATGTTTGCTACATTGGACCAAGAGTTCCCAGCCCACCGGTAGACAAACACCTGTGATTCAAGCTGAATGGCCAAAGTCCTACCATCACTCGCAAACTCGGGAAAATCGTTGGAGACAATCTGGACTTCAGCAGTGGGCACGAGGGACCACAAGGATCCTTGCAGCTGGAAGGTCTGGAAGACCCTGTTCGATGCTTGTGCGCCCTCAAAGACCAGTAAGTCGCCCCCAAGAGCCAACGAGACGGAGTTAATGGATGGAAACGATTGCTGTCCCAAGAAAACCCAGGAAGCCCCGTCGTACTTGAAGGTGTGCGTGGAGCGAACCCCAGCCACGTTCTCCGAGGCCACGACGATCTTCTCGCTGCTCAGGGCCGTGTCATGAGCCCATGAAGCCGGCAACGTTACGTTCTGACTTGCCACTTCCGTAAGGTTCGCCTGTACCTCCCATCCTGCAGATGCTGAGTACTTGAAAACGAGTACATCACCAGGGACCGTTCCCGAATTCGGTGACCATGCCATGAGGCTGGTATCACCTTCGGCTCCTGAGGAAGTCGATGTACCGGAAAGCCTGCTGCTCGTGGAATTTAGCGCCGTCACGCGCAACTGCTCCGTCCAGTCAGCGCTGGAAGAGCAGTCCGGATCCGATGAATCGAGGTTTTGATGGGCTGCCGAGAACTGCAACATGCAGCTCGTGTCGGGAGAGCTTTGGACACTTTGGCTCAGAACTCGCCCCAGCATGCACCAGGCCCCCAAACTCCACATGGCCCCAAAGCCTCTCCACACTGGGAGAAAGACCTTGAAAAGACAACTTGTCAACCAGAGGGGCCGGCTCGATCCAGCTTGAGCCATAGCCATACCAAGGTGCACACTCTCGCACCAACAGAAAACAACTCCAACGATCTCTCTCTTCGCGCCTCCGGTTCCCTACGATTCGACCCGCATCAGACATGGCTAACAACTCTTACATTCCCCCCTTCATGGGTGTGGCGCCAGGGCCCATCAACCCAGGCATCTGGAATTTGTGGGTAATGCAAGAATCTAAGGCACCGACGTCCTCCAAAGCTTTGGCTTTGAGTCGCTGGTCTGAGAGCGCGTTCTTCAGGGGGCAGATCATCGCCTGGAGGTCTGCGATTTTGTCCTTGAAGTCGTACTTGCCGGCAGTGGGCTTCAGCTTCAGAACCTGGGCCCAGCAGAGACAGGAAAGAGCACGTCAAGGCCTGCTGAGGTTGCGGCGGGAAGGATGCAATCTGGATCTCCAAGTGTATCCCTCAACACTTTCTGCAGGTCGACGCCGCAGGAGGTTTGAGCATCTTTTCTCACGGCCTGTCGCTGGAGAAGCCGCGGAGGAGTGTTTCAACTGCACCTACGGAACGGGCCTGAACTGATTTGGTCTGCGCTGGTCGCAGCTTAAAGCCGAATCTGGCCCGATCACTGTCGCTGGGCCTATCCTTCGCAGATTGTGGCGTCATTTCTGGAGCTACTGTCCGTGTCAGGGTTTTGGCCAGTCCTGCACGTTGGGAGCAGTGGGCTGAAGGTTCTCATCGTTTTCGAACCTGATGGCACGATGCCGCCCACACATCTCGCACGTGCAAATCAATGGTGCTGCTTACAGAATTGCAGACATGCCACGCTTCCTCGCTGGATGCCATCTTGAGGCAGTGATCCTACAAAGTGCTGAGCCAAGATGCAGCAGAAGTAGCCATCGATCTTCGTGAACTGGTTTCCGTTCCAAGAAGTCGTGCTTATGACTGGACCCGTTCTGGATACATCTAGCCGTCCCTAGACCCTTCTAAAATCTTCTAAAGGCGCTTGTTCCGAGAACGTCGGGCCTTTGCAACTCGACGTGTAATGGTCTTGGACCGCCTCCGCGATTCTCCAAAGATCTCCAAAGCCGACATGTCACTGCACTCAATCAGGTGATGCGTCGTTGTCCCTTGTCAGACATGCTTCTCCTGTCGGCTGAAATGAGTCGTCCAGCCTGTCTTTGCGATTCTTCAGCACCGCACCCAGTGGAACGAGGCACGAGTGCACTCTTGATGCGACTCGCTCTGTTTTGCGACGGTGCTCCGTGCAACTGAAACGCGCACACGCAGGAAACTGCTACACACCAACGAGGCCGCTATTTCGACTAGCTTTGTGCGGTTGGAGCAGGTTCGTGCCATGTAAGGGCTAGGGCCAGGGCTGGCTCTGGCTATGAACCGTGGCTACCTTCGATCACGATCTCTACCGCGATCACGGCTTCGGCTGCGACTTCTCCGTCTCCTGCGAAGACGCGGCGACGCAGGCATCGGCGTGCGCTCGACTTGGCGGGCGGCCTCCCTCGGTCGCGGCTGTTGCTTCGACTGCGCCTCAGTGACCCAAGGTGTGTCTGTGCCAGCGGAGAAGAGCGCACTCGCACGGACTCGCACGGCACGCGTCTGCCAAGTCGTCGGCCGGCGACTTCGACTTCGGCTGTTGCTGCCAGCGGCGGCTGCAACCTGATCTTGCGGTCGTCAGCACGCTGACGAGCATGCAAGATAAAAGCCCCGAGCCGCTCTTTTCAGTCGATCCTTCCGGGAGTAGGTCGCTAATGCGCCATCTGCGATCTGAGCATCAACGGCCTTCAGCAATTGTTCCACGAGGTCTGCCGTTGGTGGCAAAGAAGTGTATGGGACTTCTGGCCTTCCGGCCATTCTCGGTGAGCTCCTTCGCCCTGGCGACCAGATTTCCGCCGATGGCTTCGGTGAGGCTCTTGGAGCCAACAGCCTCAGTAATTGAGATGCGTAGCCGGCCCAGCCACATGCGACACAGGGCAAAGGAGACTTGGTGCTGGACCATAACTTTTGCCAGCTGTACTACCTGGTCTGCTGACAAGCGAGACTTTTTCTCCAGCTCTCGACGCTGCTTGGTGACCTGGGCGAGTCTCTGGCGAGGTGATGTTCGCTGGACCAGCAACTCAATTTACTAACCGAGTCACTTCGTCGTCGCTGTCCCAGGCACCCCCAGCACCCTGGGAGCAGAGGAGGAGCTAGATGCAGGGCGCATGGCCCAGCACATATTCTGCTCCCGCCTTCGTCCATTCCTTCAGTGTCTCAGACCAGAAATCAACCAACCTGAGGAGCGAAAGGACTGTGCCGATGTCCACACCAGAAACATTGCCGCACTACTGTGGCGCCCGGGTGAACAAGTATCTCCGAATTTATCTAAGTTTGCAACTCCCGCAGACTGGAAATTCTGAGAGATCAGCTTTGCCACGAGGCCATGCTTGGAACCGAGGCCCGTGACCAGCCCCTGGCGTCCGTTTCAATCACGACACAATGCGCAGATCAAGGTTGACAAAACTGACGAAGATGACCTGTGACAGCATCAGTAGCTGCGCCGGTGGAAACACAGATATTCTGCCTCAGCAGGTAGGTTTGTCTTTCTGACGGCGGGGGTAATCCGCGAGAGCTGGTCTTCGGCAATTGCTTCGACACGAACGTCAAGCTGAGTTTCAGTCGATCAACGGCTTCTTCTGCAGCTGCCTGACTCGAAGACGGAGCAGCTGGCTCTTAATCCAATTTCCCGTCACGGCCTCCAACAACTCTGAGCAACCATCCCCCGCAGTTGCCAAAACCAGCCTGACGGGTTCCATGATCTTCCACCGCACCGTGCGTGGTCTAAGATGTTCTACTCAGCACTGCAAACTTCAGTGCAGCCGGAACGCTTGATAACGTCAGCTGCAGGTAATGATCCCAGTTCACTTTTCAGAGCTTCCGCCTCAGCCCGTGCACTTCTTGGCAAATGCCGCCGGCTTTCACAGTTTTTGTGAACAAGGGCCGGACTGCTTGCTTCAGAAGATATGCCTTGTCTTCGGTGTTCAAGGCCTGCGATGGTTGCTTGCCCATCCCCTTTCTCTGTCATTCTCCAGTGCTGATGCTGATGCCTTCTTGGCTTTCGCCATCGCCAGGAGCAGGCGAACCAGGTCACTCACAGGCCACGTGGTCGCACTTGCACCCACGGCACGGGCCTCACAAGCAAGACAACTTCACAGGTTTTGCTTGTGCACGCTGTGATCCATTTGGCCATGGAGACGGCAAGCATATGTTCAGCTTGCAGCAAGAAGCCCTGCAAACTGCGGCCCCGACTACTGCGCCAATCACCGGCGCCAAGCTGGTGCTCTTGGTGGACGCCACAGCAAGATCCAGAAGCCGTGTCGGCTGGAGCTGCGTGCTCCCAAGCCTGGCCGGCACATGGAAGCGCACTGCGTAACTGCGAAGCCGCGACTCAAAGGGTTGCTGGGAGCACTTGGTCGCCAAAACCTGCGTAGCAGTGGCCTATCAGCCGAGAGCACTTGCAAGCGCATGCCTCTTGTAATGTTTGAGCCGGGAAGCTAGGGCGTCAGAGCTGAAGCCGCGCTCCGCGATGGCAAGAACAACATCCACCAGCACATCAGCCTGCAAATCGTTCAGTGGACATGCCCCTTCCGCGCGGTCCGAAGCGTGTTCCAAAAGCGCCTGAGAAACAGGAGCCAGACGAGCCAGGCGGCCCGAAATGTCCTCCAATGCGGCACCTGCAGAAGCTATGGTTCGCAGGATCTCCAGCTGCTCCTGGTCGGCAACATCAACTAAATAGCCGCTCAACTCCGAATGCAAGGCAGAGACAACACATCTGGGCTTCAGGATGACAACGAGAAACGGATTTCGAACCGGGGAAGCAGAAAGTTGCACGTGCCATGAAATGAAACGGCCACTGCGACGAGCTGAGACGATTTACTTACCGCTGCTGACCGTGGCTGCAGTGCTGCTTCTGCTTCCTCTGCTGGTTGGACCCCTGCAAGGGGTTCGTGAACAGCATTGAGGGCTTGTTCCACCTTCGTGTGCTTTCCAGATGTCGGACAGCGCTTGTATAGGAACGAAACGTGCCCCCAAGAAAAGCCAAGCCTGGCTGCATCTGCAAGGATTGGGGGACTCTGCACTAGCAGAGCGTGGATCCATTCTGCCCAAGCAAGAAACTCTGCAACTAGGCAGCTGCGTCCTCGGCTGATGGTTCGGGCTGTTTGGTGTCCATCATCAGAAGTGCGGAAGTTGCATAAGTGTTGGCCTTGGGAGATAAGTCAAGTGCTTGTCGCCACGCCGGCTGCGACGAAGATTCTCGACACGAAACTGAGGCCAGGACCACTTCGACACAGCTAGATGAACCGGCATGTCTCACGAACTCAAGAGCTTGCTCTAGCCCCACATTTGCAACGAGCGGCTGGCACCTCAGTCCGCAGATGCCAACAGAACCGGATCGCGTTTGGGATCGCTAAGGCCGCCAAGGATCCAGAACTCAACATATCTGCTTGTGGAGTGTATTTCGATAATATGTCTCAATTGTTGTCTACTTTCTGCCCAGGCTACGCTGTCCAATCGCGGGCCGACATGCTGCTAGATACACTTGTTCGCAGCACTCGGCTGGTTGCAACGTTCCGACATGCTACATGTATGTGTGTGTGTGTACACGCCTGGACATGGCATCAAATAGATGCAGGGGGCCAGGAGGGGTGGGGAGGGGGTCCTGGCCAACGAAGACCCCCCTCCCCAACCCCGTGCAAACGTACCTGCCAGTATCCGCCCTGGGCCCCAGCGAGGGCAGCTGGGGGATACAATCATCTTCACTTTCATCTCCATCTCACTTCGTGCTGTGCCATTCCCGGTGTCTGGCAAAGCGAGGGCAGGACCCACACCCTCACGGATCATCTCACCTTGTTTTCCGTATGCCACTCCGTCGGTCTGGCATACATGGCACCAAAAACTTCATCTCATTTGTCGTTATCATCACCATTACCAGCTTCATCATTTTTCACCAAATCAAGTAGCCCAGTTTTCTGCATTAGGATGCTCGAGGTTNNCAAGCCTAAGTGTGTGTGTGTGTGCGCGCTCTTTCAACATTAGGTCCAATTTGGTAGCCTGTGCTGGTAGTATGCACAACTTCATTTCTTTCGCTGAAAGTAGTTGTCTACATAAGACACGATGCTCATAGATTTGTGCATCCAGAACGGACTGCTCAGCAAGGATTAAGAGCAATAGATTACACGGTGTGGTTCATGGAGGAGCCATGCGCACATTCCCGCGGCGCAGGCTGTGTTTTTACTACTCATCCCCTTCTAACGCAGGAAATTCAATGCTCGCATGGCAAGCGTCTGAAAGCGTCCGAAATCCGTCGCTAGTAGGGTATTAGCCATGAAAACGCATCGGTTCGGAGTCGGGAAATGTTGTGTTTTTGCTACTAATCCCCTACTAACGCTGGAAATTCAATGTCAATGCTCGCATGGCAAGCGTCTGAAAGCGTCCGAAATCCGTCGCTAGTAGGGAGGGGTGAGGGGAGGATTGGGAGCGGGAGTGGGGAGCGGGGTTGACGTTAGTACGCATGACAAACATGATATGACTAGTGTGGCTCTGCATGAGGCGTCCTGAGCTTATGTTCTCAATACAGCAAGCCGAGACCTTGTGCCGCTCGCTTATGCTTCTGCCTCTGCCTATGACTGCCTACGCATATAACAAAGCTGGGCACATGGATGCCAGCGTGGAGTCGACTTCGCCTGCCCCCGGCAATCGAAGGACTCGACCCAGCAACGCCACCTTGCGACAGAGCAGCAGAGAGCTTCGAACATCGTCGAACGCTCCCACTATGTCTGATGCCAGCATGGAAAGCTCGGGAGGGGCCCGGGGCCCGGCGTCAAGCTGCGATTTGCCATCGGCGAGTTGTCTGAAGACGATGTCAGCCACGGCCTGCTGTGCGGCCTGGCAAGACTGCTGAAGCACGACCGTGGCACAAGCATGTCAGACCCTTTCCTCAGCCCAGCTGGCAGAAGAGATAGAACGCCAGGGCTGGAATTGCAGCATTCAGCAAACACACGCGCGCACGCACACACACACAAACACACATCTCCGCGTAAATGGAAGCACTTTCGCCTGATGCAGCGTAGGTTTGGCTCTTTACTTTGCTTTTGCTGGGGGCAAGGGGCAGGAGCAGTCGTCCTATCCCGCGCAGCCTGGACAAGCTTGCACACTTGCAGTTATGTAGAAGTACCACGCAGTAGATAGGAACGGTTGCAGAAGACAGACTTCCGCACAGGCAGAGCTGCATGCAGAGAAGCATGTGCACTTTGTGTCTAGATGATATGCAGGAGTGAATCAGTAAGTATCAATATGTAAGCAAATGGACAAATAAACAAGTATACGCATCTGTTTGAGTGCGTGGGTTGATGCTACCTGCTGCATTCCCTTCCCGCAATACAGATCTCCTTCGTGCCAGCTGGACGTCTCTCGAGTCGAGTGTCTGCACACTTGCCCGAAGGCCGCTGGCCTGTCGTGTGTGCACGAGATCGCTCGCAGCTCCTCAGATGCTCAGGTGGTTTTTCAGTGATTCGCGGTGTGCCATTGCAAGCAGTTCAGTTTCATCTGACAAATCTGTGCTTCGCGCCGGTGCCCCCGACTGCACCCGCAAGATCTGCCATGTCCAGCAGGTCATTCAATGGAAGCACCTGGTTCACGGAAAACTGAAAAGAAATGTTGCAGCATAAATCAAAGAAGAGATGATACTTATCAGACAAACCAGCATGCAATTCGTCAAACGTTCTTCCCAACTCGTTCTCATGGTTCTTATCAACGAAATGGCTTCAAGATTCAAGAGTGTTGACAGCCTACAGCTGCAACAGTTCGAGTACTGGGCTAGAAGCATCCACTGAACATGCCCCAAGGGCTCGTGTGGACTGATCAGGATTGAGCGCCATGCGGAAAATCACATCCGACAGAACACATATGAGCACTACCAAGTTCTGTGGCGATAGCTGCAGTGAAGCAGCACTGGCACGGCGCAGCTGGACTGCTGGAGATGTTAGTCCGCAAGCTAAGACGCCTTCTCCTATGCTTCCACCAGTTTTATTTGAGAGGCCAGCGTTGTAATGATCTGCAACTTGCTGACACTTGCTGACGTCGCAGACTGCAGCACTGAACTTACGAGACGGGCCACCTCCTCTTCGTCCTATCACCCATGACAAAATGGTACAGTGCCCCTTCCCTGCTCGTCAGATAGTGCAGCATGTTGCTTGACCGGGCCGCCGTCACCCTGTGGACTGAAGAAAACATGCTCGGCTGCGCGTTTGTCTTAATTCGTCCATCCGACGCATCGACCCACACCCCTCGACATCCACTGTTCTGTCGGTAGTCTTGCACTTTCTGTAGCCGGATAGATGCAAGATCACGAGATGAGGACTGTCGTGACATGCCGTCATGTTGCAGTCTCGAACGACGCAGCTAGGGCTGAGACGACTTCACCCCCGTTCGTAGCAGTGGCGAGGATGCTTCGTAGATTTGAGAGCCTGAGAAAGTCGGCTCCACCGAGGTCCACGTACAGGCGCGCCCCCCCGTTGCAACCTACTCTTGCCACTAAGTCACAGTTTCTTCTGCGCTGCTATCCTGTTTATGGTCTTGGTGACATCAAGCCTGAGCACAAGTAAGACTTTGCAACTGCATTGTGTTCAGACCGCGGCGCAAAAGAACACCAGCTGCAAAGGCCCTTGCCCTTCGCCGTCATGAGTGGATGCCGCCAACACCACCAAAGCACGTGCCGCTGCCAGAAGCGGCAATTTGGTGAGTTCATCTTTGGCACCCGCCACAACAGCCGAGACCTGCAACATGCAAGTCGCACGAGGTCAAAAACCAAGAAGGGATTTCAGTTATAAGCAAGAACAAGCAGAAGTGCTTTGAGTGCTTGACCCCGTCTATATCTTTCACTGTTGCAAGCATCTGGGCCAACTTCTCCTCTTTCGTTCGGAGCCTGACGACTGCATGCTGCAGCCTGCTCTCCGTGGCATCTGCTCAGAAGCCTGACCGATTGGGTGTCTTTGTTGAACTCCCAGGTCTCCCAGTGGCCCTCGAAGTAGATGATGAAGTCTTCGTTGTCCCAGACCTGAAAGGATCTATGGTGGCCAGGCAGTCGACACGCTTCTAAATATTCTCGACGGATTCTCGGTCTTGCGCTGGCTTTTGCAGAATGTTGGAGAAGTACAAGAGAATGTTCGGATCCTTCCGGAGCTGCTCCAGCTTTACCCACCCCTTGTAAGCCGCGATAGCGGGCTGGAGGACCTTGATCGATCAAATCAGGCCACAATGCCGAGCGTGCGCTTTCAGGAGCCCGTCGCACCTCCTCCATCTCAATGAACTTGAACATTACCCCGAAGTCCACCAGAGCGAAGTCTGCAATGCCTCTGTCATCCTCCTTCGGAAATCTGCTGCAAATGCAAACTGCAAATGCAAACGTCGGCTGTACTCTTCGTGGCACTGCATGCTGTCTCCTCACCGTACGGTGCCACGCGTAGATGGTTTGGCGGTAGGAAGGTCAGGTAAAATCCTGGGATTGCCAGTGGCTTCACTACTAGTTTCATAGTTCTGAAATATACTTGTGGGGATTCGGTGCCTCGTCGATAAGCAGCCTCAAAACGGAAGGCCCCCTCGTAGGCTGGACTCGTCACTGCGACGAAATTGACCTGCATCTCACCATCTTTACAAGCAGGCAAAGGGTGCGGGAAGAGGCATCATGGTTGGAGCAAATCCCGTGGCCTTGTCAACTTTTTCGCCCTTGCGAGCATCTTCTAAACCCACTTCAGAGTCGGTAGGGCCTCGGAGGCAGGAACAGACACAACTCTTTTTCAGGCCTCTGGAGACGAGGCCGGAACTGGCTGGGTCGATAAAGAACGACAAGTTCAAGCCTCCACATAGCCCCGCAGCAACCTTGCGGCACAAACTTGTGCAGGTGACTTGAAGACGTCTCCCTGCGGCTTGGGCACTCCCATCTTCTCCCCGGCTGCTTTTGATCCGAGCGCTCTGACGCGGCACATATTGTTAACTTCTGGCAGCCACCACAGCGACCACTTCGTGTCTTCGAAAAAGGCCTGTGAACGAATCATCCAGCTTGCTTGTGCGAAAAAACCACAGCTCACTTGCCTTGAATTCGACGTCGGGGTCATCTTTTCGACTATGGACGAAAAGTCGCCGGCCGTTGTACCGGACAAATCTGTCTGGGAATCCTGGCCACACGAAATGTCAACTTTTCAGTATTCTCATTCGGTGCATGGCCACCTATTGGCATCATCATGAATTCCTTCGGAATTCTCATGCGAGGTGCCTTACAGGCCAGAACGGCGAGAAGCCATGGCAACAAACCTGCATAGGCCTACCAGCGCTGGCACAACGGCGGCTAAGCGCGCAGCGCCGCTTGGAGGCGGTGGCCCGAAACCCTGCTTCTTCCTTTTGACGGCTCTTCTTTGATCGTCATAGGTCGAGCGCTTGGTGGGATTGCTCAAGACCTCCAAGGAAGATCCGTCATGGGACCATGAGCTGCTGTGTGCCCGGCCTCGTATGCGTTGTTGATCTTTCGTATTTGTGTCTCTGCTTCATCCCGGTTTTCAGGATGCTTGTCCGGGTGCCATTTTAAGACCAGCTTTCTGTAGGCTTTCTTGATCGTTGCCTGACGTGTGGGAACAGCAATGAACATCACGAGCAAGAGAAAGCGCAACTCGAGTCTAGCCTCGTCTGCATTCTCGTCGTCGATTCCCAAGTCCGCGTAGTAATTAATAATGTCCGTGCCGGCCATGTTCGCGCCGGAAACGCTCCACCAGGCAAGCTAGACATCCTCTCGCCGAGGATCTGGCGAGCCCTAAACAAACACTGAGCAAAAAGGCCACAGGTGCGGAATGCCATGTGCATGAAGCTGCGTTCATGAAGTCTCGCGGTCTCCGTCTCAGGTCAGCTGGTGTGCCTATTGAAGCCTGCACGTTCCTGCGCCACGTGCTCTGTAGGATATTCGTTCGTCGGAGATGGGCAGCGGTAGCTACAGAGCAATATGAACAACTCAGGCAACAGGAGCCCTGGGCACAGCAACAGCAGCATACACCGTTGGGCATTGCTTGCAGATCGGCGCTCACTCTCGCCAGCTTAGCTTGGACACATGCTCTAGCACCTGCATCGTGAGGTCATGCATATCGAAGTCGGCATGAAACAAGCCAGAAGGCTCCTCAAGTCGATTCTGAAGAAGTTTGGCGCTGGAAAGCGAATGCTTCACATAGAAGCCATGAAGACCACGAGCTCTTCACGTCGGCCACTGATCCTCAAGCCCAAGACCAGTCGAGCTGTGTCCCGACTCTACGAGGCAAAGAACGTCTCGGAAACCTGGAGGCTGCGAAGCGAAGCATGCGTCGGCTGCTGCACATAGATTCTAGATTCTAAGAATGTTCTAAGTGTTCCAGCGTCTTCTTCAAGCACGCCAGGGGCGGTCAAGATCCGTCACTCAACTATGGAAGGCTGGACTGCAAGGTTTTCCGCGGAGTGGCGATGGTGAATTGCTTCGATCTTGTCGCCTGAGGCGATCCCTCGCGACGACACTCCAGGGCTGCTGAATTGAGTCAACCATGCAAGTGCTGACCCTCAGCTCAAAACCAGGCTCTGAGTACTACACTTGAGGTGACTGACTGTGCCTCTTGGCCCGCACTGTCGTGAGCAAGGTGCCCAAAGAATCCCAGAGAAGGCCTCGTCTTCAGCTGCTCTCCCCGGATTTGTTTCCATTGTCGTCTGTTTCCGGCAGTCACGACTCGCGGAAGGCTTCACGCGCAATGATCGAACTTTTATCCTGGCGACGGGGCTCTTCTTGGATCTTTTTTTGGGAAATTTTGGTCCACAAACTAGTTACTTACGCACTTCCTCCGTTAAACCTGTCACCGTTGTGGCAAGATTTCTACTGTCATTATGTGCTGGGGGCTCAACCCTCCCGACGCTGCAGCGCCGGCTTGATTCCCACAGAGCAGTGCTCACTTTCGTAAACGATGGATCTGATGGGATTCGATGTCTCTACATTGGCATCTGTTGCATTCCTACTGCAACTTCCACAGCTTCTTGAAACCCGCCTTGGGTTCAAAACTTTGACAGGGGAGAGTGGACCCACAGGTGCTCGTGCTTTCGTTTCGGGGAGACTCTCGCCCACGCCTTGCAAAATCGCAGCACCGTCTCCGCACTCTTCGGGCCCTTCTGCTTTCTGATCTGCTCTCGCCTTCTTGGTGTTGACATCAACTTGTGCAGCAGCTAATCTCCTAGTCGGAATCCGTCTGCTTCCGCGAGCGTCTCGCTGGCTGCAGAAAAGCACTCTCCCCTTCTTTTTCGCCAGCTCAAAAAACCGGTAGCATCTCGAAGAAATGACCTGCTCCTGAACGGAACTCGTCTCAGGCATCCTCTTCTTGCAGCCATCGCGCCGCCTGAAGAGCTAGCAGCTGAGGCTTCAAAGGTCGGGTCCGAGGACAGGCAAATGGTAGACCTGCTTGGCGTAGTAGGTAAGGATGACCGTGGCACCGGCACGTCTGATGGAGAGAAGGGCCTCCCAAGAATGGCTTCGAGGCAAGGTGGACTTGCACAGCGGCAGTCGCCTCCAGAACGACCGCCTTCTCATCCAGCCAGCCTAGGGCCATCAATGCAAACTTGATGGGCATCTGTGAGGGTAACATCCCAAGCTCACCGAGCGTCGCGCCATTGAGAGCTGCAGCCTTGAGCATGGCATATTCTCCGGAGACCTGGATCCATGGGACCCGTGAGAAGTCTCCATCAAGCCCTGGCACAAGGGCTGGGCATGGTAGGCGGCAATTGGCAAGTTGCTCTGCTCATGCAGGCCCTTGATGATGTCGAGGTACGGCCTCAACCAACTTGTAGATGGTAGATGTTTGGGAAGGATTACTTGAAAAGAAGTTGCTCGGTGCAACGGCATAGCTGGCTTTACCATCAGTATGTCCGCACCCTCTTCCTCGTCCAGTGCTGCCTCAGCAAAGGCCAGCTCGTCCCTTCCCGAGAATCGCAGCCGGGACCGCAAACCTCCAGCAAAGCTTCCTTGTAGTTGGCCTGGGCACACCCAGGGAAGCGGAAGAATGCAAGGGTCAGTCAGAGGATTGCAACTGAGCCGAGGTACCGGGTCTTGCTGGTAGGTTTCCTTCCCTTTTGGCACCTGGCTGGCACACACCTGCTCGGGCCTCATCGACTTCTTCACTGCCTGCCAGTCTTCCGCGATGACCGGGTTGGAGTCCAATGCCTCTCTGAAAGGCCTGGAACACACTCAACGCACAAGACTTTGCTGCCTAATTCATGTAGAGGCTCGCACCCATAGAAAGCCGAGGCATACTTGGCACTGTATGCCTGCGAGATTGTCTGGCGCAGACGGCGCTATCACACACCCCAACGACACAACAAATCCGACATCGGCCCACCATGATGCCCACATTGGTAAATCCGGCTTCATCAAGTGCATCACGGATTGCACCTCGGAGGTCCGGGCAGTCCAGGTGCTCGTCTTCATTTTTTGAACTGATGGCAAGATGATTTCGTTCACTTCGGTGCGTGGCCAATTCGCCCATCCATCATGTCGCTGGGGCCTTGCATGCAATTGCCGATGCCATCTTGCTAAGAAGTGTTGTAGTATGCTGTAGGATGTCTTTGGCGGGCACTCACGTAGTCAGCACCCGCTTCGGCTTGAGACCTAGGCCAAAGCAAGCAAATCGGGAGCCGACGCAATGCGAACATTGTTGCTCGAAAGCTTCGGCTTGCCATCGGCGTTTGCTTCACCTTCGAAATAACAGGTGGGGAGTCTGCATGAGTCTGCTCGGTGTTTGGGTGTTCAATGGAGGAAGCGGTCCCTGATGTAAACATGCGGCTCAATGGCAGAGATGCGATGCAATTCGAGATTAGCCCCAGACAACGATCGCGTGATTTTCAGAAGCTCCTCTAAACCTCTGCAGCTCGGTCCAGTTGGTTTGTCAGAACTTAGATTGTCCGAGGTGAACTCACAGTTCCCTGGATTCACCTCAAGCACTGCGCATGTCCCAAACCCTTGGCATGCGCATCCTTGGGTGCTGCGAAAGTTCAATCGCAAGGGCCTAGCCCAGGTGCACGTCCGTAATTCTAGATTCTTTTGGTTAGGGTCGCCCCCGGATGTCAGTACAACTGAATTGGAATTGAACTCAGCACCGTCCACCAGCCGAGGTTGCTGCACAGCCTGCTTGCAAAGGTAAGCAATCCTTGGACAAGGCAGCCATGGTTTGAGATGATAGTGGCGGAAGCCGGCTGCAGGCTTCAAACGGGCGTCGTTTCGTCGTTCAGGATGACACCATCAGACCGAACGATGCCGTCATGTCCTTCATGAGTTTCACATCATCCACGGATAGTCCCTTCAAGCGCAGCAACCTCGAGCGCAGCAGAAGCTTAAGAAGTGCGGCCTAGCGAGTTGTAGGGATCCAAGGCAACATCCGTGTACACGACCTGGCCGAACAAGCAACAGCATCAACAGCATAATCGCATGCAGCCATGCCACGTGCCCCTCTATGCTGCAAGCAACGCTTCTGCACGATGTGCGGAACTTACATTACCCAGCACTTTGCCGTGACCCCTTCAGGGCCCACGGAGGTTCAGCTTCGCTGATGACTGATAATAGCAGACATTAACAAATATGTACAATACAGAGCCGGATATCTTAAAAATCCGTCTGCTGGCGCGGCTAGTCAAGTATACAGCTGCAAATGACTCCGTCTAAACTCAGGCCATGCTGCCGGTCATGCGGTCATGCCTGACATATGCGTGCTTGACTCCGGGTAGGGCAGCGAGGACAGACCGACAACTCCCCAAAGCAAAGAGACTCGATGGACACTTCTATCTTCTATGGGCACTGAAGTAAAGCGAGCCGCTGCGAAGGTGACTTGGCCAACCTTGGATACAGGCGACAAGAAGCAGTGCCATTCTGGGGAGAACTCGTGCAACCAGGAGTCGGTAACGATAATGTCCTTCTTCTTCTTTTTGCCTGAAACTCACGCCGTACACCCACTTCAGGATCGGAAGCAACGAAAACCAGTTGCGCTGAGTCTCCTTTCTTCTTGGGTTCTGCGTCACCCTTTGCAGTCAAGGGGTAAGCCAAGCTAAATTCGAAGAACACGAAACGGCCGTTGCAGCAGGCCTGGTTCTGTTTCGGCTTCTTGAGTTTCTTCTTCTTCTCTTTGCCTGTGGCCATGTGAACCACGCACTCATGCTTCACTGCTTGCATGCTCAAGTGGCCTCCAGTGGCATCAGCTACCTTGGGCACGTAATGGCACGTATAATTTGGATCCAGGATACTAGACATGCCAACCAACCAAACATACTTGACTACGGGGTGCTTTGTCCTCGTCCTCATTCGACGAATGATGATCGTCTGCTTGACGTCCTGCTTCCTCATCCTCGGCTGCCAGCGTCTTTCTATCGTCCTCCGCCCTTGCCGCTGCCTCCGCAGCCTCTGCGGCTTCCCGTGCCTTTCTCTCCTCCTCCGCCCTTGCCGCTGCCTCCGCAGCCTCTGCGGCTTCCCGTGCCTTTCTCTCCTCCTCCGCCCTTGCCGCTGCCTCTGCGGCCTCAGCAGCTTCCCGTGCCTTTCTCTCCTC